TGTGTCAAACCCCCCCACCCCACCCCACACCCCACCCACAGTTCTCCGAGGGCCACCCCATCTGCGCGGTGTGCGGGCGGGGCGACCTGGACCCAGCCAACCCGGTGCCGCGCGGCTGCTTCGACACCAAGGTCACCAGCTACAGCCTGGCGATGCAGGTGGGTGGCGGGCGGGGGCGAGTGGGGGTGAGAGCTGTGGGCGGGTGGTGTATGATCGCGCGCGTGTGGTGGGTGGGGCGTGTGTGTTTGGTCACCAGCTGCTTGCAGCCTGGCGATGCAGGTGCGGGGCGTGCGTGTTTGCAGCGTGCGGTTGGTTGGTGCGTGCGCGCGAGTGTGGTGTGGCAGTGGCGAGGCCGCCTCCTGGCACCGGCTCCGCCCGCCTCCTGCTCCAGCCCCCTGCCCCTGCTTGGGTCAGCGGCGCGCCTATACCGCTGCATGAAACGCACGCGCGCACACACACACACCATCTGCCTTCCCTCAACTCCCGCCCGCCCCCACCCCCACCCCTCTGCGCAGCTGCAAGCTGAGGCGGTCAATGGCCCCACCACCGACTCCTGGCCCTGGTCGGTACCGCCCTTCAGGTGGAGCGAGGCGGTGGTATCCAACCTGACGCACAGGTGGGGGGCGGTGGGGGGCAGCGTGGCGAGGTATGCTGTGGGCGGTGGGCGGTGGGCGGTGTGGGTGTAGGGCTTGATGTGCGTGTGGGCTGGTGGTTGAGGCTAGGCTTGGCAGGTGCTGGGTGTGCGCGTGCGGCGTGGCTTGCCTGGGCGTGCTTTGCAGCCTGCCCCCCCACTCCCGCTGCCTGCCCGCTTACCCGCGTCTGCCCCACGCCTGCTGCTGCTGCTGCCGCCACGCCGCTGGTGTGTGCAGGGGCCAGCCCGAGCGCTTTGCCTTCCGCTTTGAACGCATGGACCCCGACTCACCCCTGCCAGACCAGCCCCCCTCCTGCTCCCGCCAGCAGCCGCAGCAGCAGCAGCCGCACGCGGCTGCGGCCGCCGCCGCGGCAGGAGGGGGCCTGCAGGACAGCTGACGCTCGTGCCAGTACTGTCAGCGATACAGCGGTACTGCAGCGGTACCTGCAGGGTGCGGGCGAGCTCCGAGCTGAGCGAGCCGTGCCCTTCTCCTCTTCTCTACTGCTTCCTCTTCTTCCACCACATGATTTCAAGCCAGCCGTGCGCAGCGCCTGCCGATTTCATCGCTGATCCCACGCAGTGACCTCTGATCCACGCAAGCGCTGGCCCCGCAGCTTACAGCTCACATCTTTCAGACAACCCGCCCTCTACAGCCCACCAGTCCCCTGCAGCCCACCCGTCCCCTACATCCGTTTCATTGTCCGCCCTGCGGCTTTCATGCACCCGCACAGCGACACCTCCAGCCTCCGCTTCATTTCATAGCTCAAGCTTGTTTGAAACCAGCTTTCTGCAGGGGCAGGGGCACCACTCATGCCCCTGTGACCTGGCCCACTAGTCTTGTGTGCTCTCTGGAAGGTTTCAAACCCTCCCATCCCCTTTCCCAAGCGCTTTCTTGCCTCCCGTTGCTTGCCTCCCGTTCACCCATGCCGCACAGAAGGGTGTAAAGCTCAATTTTCAAATCAGAGATGCGCCCCAAACAACTATTGCAGTGCTGGGAGGGGGCAGGCGGGGTGCACGGGCTTGCTGCCCACCCTGCTAGATCAAGCGCCGGCAGCCATCAAGCGAGCTGGGGCAAAGCAACAGGGAGTGCTGGCGGGGCGCCGAACGCAGTGTTGCGAATTGCAAAATGCACAGTGCGCAGCATGAAGAATGGAGGCACGGCAGTGCGGGTCCCAACAAACAAGAGGGCGAAGCATTCAAGTGGCAAGTGTGTAGGAGCTGGCAGGGGCGGGAGCCTGCACCAGCGTGGCAGGCTGCCGCCGCAGTTTTCCCACTAGCACGAATAGGAGCGGTACGGGTCGAGCGGTGTGTACTAGGCTATCGGCGCCTCTCACAAGGCGCCTCCTCGGCTCCCTCTAGTCCCCCTAGCTTCCCGGGCTGAGGCGCCGCACCGGTATGAAGCCTCCCACGATGCTGCCTGGGCGGCTGCCCTGAGAGCCCTCCTCCCCCTCGCTCCCCTCCCCCTCGCTGCCTGCCGCCACGCTGGCGGGGCGGCTGCCCGACAGGCTGCCGCTGCGCCCCGTGAAGCTGCTCTGCCGCCCGCTGCCGCCGGCCTCGCTGTTCAGCTGGGGGCCGGGGCAGGCGGCCACGCGCGCCGCAGCATCGGCGGCGGGGCAGCCCCGCTTGCGCGCCAGCATGGGCAGCGCGGCGGCAAATTGGCGCCACGTCATGCGGCTGCCGCCCTGCAAGTGGGGCAAGAGGAGAGGGAAGGGAGGGTTGGGAGGTGGTTGGTGCAGACGGGTGCTGGGTGCAGGACGGGTGCTGGGTGCAGGACGCTGGTGGGCAGGCAGGTGGGGAGAGGCGTGTGGGCCTGTCCCTCAAGCGGCATCAGCCCCACATGGGCTAGAAGGGGCGGCGGATGCGGGAGGGAGGTGGTGGGCAATACACAGGGCCAACCTGTGGTGGCGAGGCAGCTGCCCCCAAAGTGGCAGACAACACACACGGACACACACGCCCTCACGCAACCCGGCACCCACCTTGCCCGCCACCTTTTGCAAAG